AGGCTCCTAGAGCTGGAAAAGACCATTTGAAAGTCAGCATCATGGATCAGCCATGTCCGCTGCTCATTCATCGCTAAACAGAAGGATGCAAAGCAAAAACCAATTCCCAACAAATGAAGAGGGAGGGCACAGCTTCTGAATAGGCTTCTGTAAGACTTGCTCGGTTAAATCGGACCTTGACACAATCAAAGGCATGTTATATGGCCCCGGGACCCCCCCTCCTGCCCCCCGGTCCTCTACCCCCGAGCCCAGAGCTGCAGGAAACCCATGGGCCACGGCAGCACGTGCTTCAGGAAGCGACCTTGGCCTTCTCTCCAGCTAGAATGACGCAGGAAGGGGAGATGCCCGGCCTTCCGCTCGCTGCACCCCGGGGCGCACTCCTCCACTTTCCAGCCCACTGGCCGGGTGCTCGGGGGCCCAGCTGGGCCCTTTCTCCCAGTCGGTGGCTGCTCGCGGCTCCCCTGGTGCCCCTGCCACGTTCCCTCCGTGTCAGGGCGGGGGAGGGGGCTGCTGCCCGGACAAGGGAGGGATGTTCTCAAAGACCCTGAACCTCCTGGGCTCCCTGAGGCCACAGACCTCCTCCGGCCGGGCAGTGAGGGATGCTGGCCACAGCCCAGGCACCTTCCAGACCCAGGCGCTGGCAGGGGATCCTGGGACAATGCCCACCCAGTTCGGGTCTGGGTGCTGGGGTGCCCTGAGAGGTAACGCACCCCTCAGAGCTGGCACCCGCGGCCGAGTGTCCCGCAGGCTCTGGTGAGGGGACGGTGGTGCGGGGCACGTCTCGGGGGCACGCCTGGGTGTAAAGTCTGGCTCTGCCAGACGTGGCCTCTCTGTGACTCGGTTTCCTCACCTCTAAGATGGGGATGTACCGGCCCCTGCCTCGGGCGTGGTGCCAGGAGTGCTCCGTGGAGTCTTTGGCCCGTAGTCCGTCCTCAGTGGATAGCGGTCATTATTCCCGGCCACAGTGCTCTCTCCACGCCCTCCTGCCGTGGCCGTGAAAAGAGGCTGCTCCTTGGTTGACCGCCTACGACCGTGGCGGGGTCACCTGGACGGTGGGCCTCCGTGTCACAGACTCGGCCAGGAGGCTCACACCTGCTCCGCCCCCTTCCTTGATGGCAAAGCTGAGCTAAAACCTGTGTGCCAGTGCCCCCAGCTCCCAGGCGCCATGTCAGCCAGCGGGCGGCCCCGCCTCTGGACAGGAGCCTGGAAGTACAGCCGGCGTCCAGTCAGAGCAGCTCCCGCCCGTGCGCTGCGTGTGCGGGGCGTTAACATCCTCAGGCGTCCAGGCGGCCGCCCTGTGTGGTGAGGGGTCTGGATTCCAGGCCTGGCCCACGCTTCCCGGCAGTGACCGGGGCGAGAGCGGCCTTCCCGTCTCCACCTTGGTGTGGGGTGTGAGGACTCAGTAAGGTGTTCAGGCAGCACCTGTGTCTTCTGTCCACCTCCCACACTGCCCCCTCAAGGCTCTAGAAGGTTCCAGCCAGTTTCCCTTGCTGTGGCTCGGGGTGCCTCCCTCAGTGGCACTGATCTCCGTGGCACCGTCCCAGCACCCGCCACGTTCCCCAGGACACTCTGAGGCTCCCTGGAGCCTGAGTCCTGCAGGAGCTGAAGGGCGGGAGGGGGAGCCCTCTTCCCCGGGGCCTCAGCCTGGGCGTGCAGGTCCTGGGCCAGTCCAGGCCCGCACTCAGGCCTCCTTGGACCTCGGGCCTTGGCCAGGGGCCTTAGGGAGGGCCCTCAGCAGGCCTGGCCTCCTAGTCCCAGCCTGCAGCTCCATGCAGTTCAGCCGCTGGCCACCAGAGGGCAGCACGGGAACAGGAACCTCGCAGAGGGAGCCTCTGCCCTAGTTTCCCAGCAGCCCTGGGTGATCACAGCTGCTGGGAACAAAGCAGCTCAGATTCAATGTGACTTGGAAAATGCACAGAAACCACCCGATGTGGCTGAGTGGAGAGACCTCTGCGGAGGCCCCGGGGGCACTACCCTCCCACGGTCCCCAGTGGGCAACAGAGGGGCCCCCTCCTGGGTTCTCCTGGGGGAGACACCCCCTTCTCTACTGACCTCCGCTTTCCTCCCCTCCCTCAAACCCCCTGGCCAGCATGCTCGCCCCTCCCCTGCTCCACCAGCCAGAGGCCTGCTTGCTGACCGTCAGGACCCTGGTTCTAGCCAGGTTCTGCCAGGCTCCAGAGGGCTCTGTGCTGGGACACCCAGGCCTGGGACACCCCCAGTCTGTAAATATGGGGTCAGGCGCACCCACTTTGCAGGAACGCCAAGGCTGGGGCCACCTTGCTGTCTCTTCTCAGAGGGTCCCCGCTCCCACAGGCAGTTCCCACTTCTGTGTTCTGTTCTCTTCACCTCCAGCGGCAGGCGGCCACACACATGCATGCATGCATACACACACGCACACATGCATACACACGCACACACATGCAAACACACAGGAGGTGCCCCTGGGCCCCAGAATCTGCCCCAGGTGCATCAGAAATCTGGGTCCTTTATCTCAGGACTCCTAGGACAGGGCGACCTCAGTGGCATTTGCTGATCCCTCCCCTGCCCCAAGCCCTCTATGCCACCTCCCTTCACCCACTCCTGCAGCACCAGGCGGGGGAGGACGCAATTAGGGCCTTCAGGTGCCTGCGTTACCGCAGCTCAGCGCAGCAGGGCGAGGGTTGCCATGGAAACCATCCCTTGAACCGAAGGATGCTGAGCCCCTCCTGTGCGGTTGCCATGGAGAAGGCCCCGGTTCACTGTTGCCATGGAGAAAGCCCTGGTTCCACAGTGATTGCTGCAGCCCGTTGTCCCCCGCAGTGGCCCTGGCTTCCTGCCAGCAGCTGTGGGTGCTGTTATTTTCCTCTTCCTTTTTCCTCACACGGTCACCGTGGCCTTTTGAAGCCACTGCTCTTTCACTTCCCAGGAACCAGCAGGACGGCCCCCTGAGCTGGCCTCGTGCTGCTGGCATCCCAAAGTCGGTTCTGCCTGGGGCATGGGGCACCTGCCCAGCCAGCACCCACTCCCAGCCCCGCCCCTCCCAGAGCCCCAACTCTCCCTGTGGAACCCTAGATCTGAGCCAAGGGAAGCAAGGCCAGGGGCCCTGGAGATCAGATCCCACCGGAGAGGCGGGGCCGCTGGCCTGAGAACACAGCCACGCGGCCTCCTGCTCTGGGCTCCTGTGCTCTCTCCACCATACTCCAGACTGTGGTCGCCTCGCGGTAAAGTGACGTCTCCAAAGCCAGACCTGCCCCTCCTTGGCGATCCCCACCAGACCTGGGGTCCTGGTCCCTTTGCATTACCCACCAGGCATCAGTCTCCGCAGGACACAGGTGCTCAGGCCTCCTCAAACCCGAGCCTCCCGCAGTCTGCCCACAGCCCGAGACAGACCCGGCCCCTGCCCTGTCTCCCCTTCCTTCCTGGGGTCCACCAGGCCAGTTCCCAGGGGCTCCTGGGGCTGAAAAGATAACTCTGCTCCAGCCTGGAACCGAAATTAAGCAGGAGGGGTCAGGGGTCAGGGGTCAGCACTGCGCCCGTGCTGGATGCCAGCTGAGGGAGCCAGGAGCACCGGGGCCCCGAGGGACCAGGGCTCCTCACAGAGGGTGCGTCCCTCGACCCTCGGCAGCTGACGCTGTCCCCGCTGTCTGTCCCCTCCAGGGAGGAGTGAAGGTTCTCATCACAGGCCCATGGCAAGAAGCCAGCAATAACTACAGCTGCCTGTTCGACCAGATCTCAGTGCCTGCGTCCCTCATCCAGCCCGGCGTGCTGCGCTGCTACTGCCCAGGTGAGAGGCGGGGCCTGGATGGCGGGGCCTGGACGCGGGGCACCCTGAGCGAGCTGAGCCATCGCTCCGGGCCTCACCCTCTCAGTTGTGAACACGTGGGCCCCGATGGGCTGATATAGCGGCCTCTGTTCCGCTCACGGGCCCCACATGGGGCAGGGACAGGCGGGGACTCTGGCGATGAGGGGCCGGTGCACCCAGGCTGGCCACTGCGGGAGCTCTAACCTCCCAGCCCTGACGGGTTGCCGGAGCTGGTGGAAGCGGGGCAGGTGGAGGCCCCACAGGAGCTGCGTGAGGTCAGAGGCCGCCTCTGCAGCACGCGGGCCTCTCTCCTCCTATGCGCTCACGGCCCAAGCCAGCCAAGCGCCATACGCATAGGAGAGTCCAGGCCGTGGGCGCACAGGGCCAGTCCCCCTGGGGCAGAGGGCGGTCAGAGGCCTGGTGGGCGATGGGGAAGGGGTGTCAAACTCAGACTATTCACACAAGCTCCTTGGAAGTTTGCCGAAGGCCTCCACCCACCCAGGGCCCCGAGAAGGTGCCTGCACAGAATTTGCTCCCGGGTTCAGAGGTGGGAGCCCCAAGGGGTTCATCATCCTCTGCTTAGCTGGTGACCCGTCTGACAACGTCCTCACCGCCTCCCCAGGGGCCTGTCAGCCGCACGAGGGCGGGGTCTGTCTTTCTTGGTCACCGAGTCCCCCGCAGCTGGAAAGGGGCCCCCCAGCGCGGCACACGGAGGAGCGAGGAGCCCGTGATTTGTGCAGGAACCTGTGTCTAGAGCCCAGGCTTTCCGTCCCCCGGGCTGGTGCTGGGACCACCCTTGGCTGGCCCCTCCCACACCGGCCGCCCCAGGGATGACCTGTCCCACTTCCCAGGCAGTGAACCGAGACACAGGGAGGCGGGTGGCAAGGGCGGAGGTCCACCCTGTGCCATCTGAAGCCCGGGGCTTACAAAGGAGAGAGCGCTCTCTGCAGAGGCGGGGGTGGGGTCGGCTGGTGCCAGTTTCCACCAGGGGTGCTCCCGCCAGAGCCTGGCCCTCCCCCCCCCCAGCTGTCTGCCTCCCCAGCCTTCCCGACCCCCCTGCCTAGGCTCCGAGCTCAGGGCAGAGTCTCCTTCTCTCTCTCCATCTCCCCGGGCAGCTCCCTCGCTGGGCTCATAAGCCCAGCCTGCACTGGAACCCAGCACCTCCTCACCAGCCGTCCCAGGGAGCAGGCTCTGCCGGCCCTGCCCTCCCAATCACTACCCCCGAAGGAGTGGTGTGCTCCCCGTGGCCCCTGTTAGTCCCCCTTATAAATCCCAAGCACAAGC